CTCGGCAAACGGCCCTCGGCGCGGAGCGCAGAGATCCTGAGGCTCTTGAGCTTGCCATTGGGGGGCCCTTGGACATTGGCCCCCCACGGCGCCTTGGCCGAGACCCCCGCCCTGAAAACGTTCCCGACGGACGCCCCCGCTTCCCTGAGGGCGAGAACTTTTGAAACCTTCCCCTGAGCGTCCAAGGGCGGTCCTGGCGGGTGGAAACCCGATGTCGTGAGCCGTCGGTCGCATCTCCTCCCAAATCTGCGTGGACCCCTCTGGCGGCAAGTTGCAATCTTCCAGAACCTGCTCCGCCAGAAGCTTGGAGGAATACAGAAGGCCGAGCATGTCCAGAGCAATGGGCAGGCCCTTCTTTTTCAAGTCCGCCACAACGGCGGTGCAAGCTGAGACGAGCTCGCGCCTGACATTGCCTGCGCCGCCTGTGGCGCGCAGGGGCGCGTCACCCATCGCACGTTTGAACCGGGCCGCGGGTTTGGCATGGGCAGCGCGGCGCAGACAGGCTAGCAACAAGAGGCGAGCCAATGATGTGGCCCCAGAGCAGCCAGCTATCACCGCGCCATTGCAGAACAAGTTGGCGACTGATCGACCCCTGCCGAGTCACTCTGCGAGGCGCTCGATGCGCTGCACAGCATGCACGGAGCAACGGCATGGGGAACTATGCGTGTGCTGCTGCAGCTCGCAGACGCTGGTGAGAGATATGTTCGTAGAATTCGCGGAGGTCCAAAAAAAAGAATGCAAGTATCAAGACCTGGGACCGTCCGCGCATATGCTGTGCACCTAGGCACTCTTGTCAAAAGCTGTGCTCGTGCTCATCCCCCAGAAAAGCAGAACATCCAACGCGCGCTCCCATTTCGAGCCCAGCCTGTGGCGGATTCTGCTCCAGGCCCGAGCCCAAAGGGGCATCGACCCTATCGGGCGGACCCCCCCTGACGGTTTGTCCAAGAACACCATGGGGGCGAGCCGCGTCGGGCCAACCGTCGGGCGCCGCTCACAAGAGTCGAGGATGCCCACAAAAGACTGAACCAAGGGCCTGGGCAGCTGGAGGAGCAAATAAGCAGGTGGATGGTGAAAAAGACGCCGACGCAAGGCTTGCTCTACCGTGATCACCTCGAGGTCGCCCTGCACAGGCCAACTCAGCGGGCCCCCCCCCCCCAGCTGGATTGCTCCAAATCGGGAGCCGCTGCTTGATAGTCTGGTCGAGGGCCTCCAGCCCGACCAAGGGGGTCTGGGCAGCCGCCAAGTCCTTCTGCCCCATATAATCAGCAACCGCAACAAAAAAACAGGGGCGGAGGAGCTGGGCCTTTGATGTAGTTGTGAGCCACCCGAGACCCCCGCTCGACGACGGACGACTGGGCCCAAGACTTCCACTTCTGGCGCCCCCCAGCTACCTCCTGCCTCACCCCGCGGGAGACTTCGTCCTGAAGCAGGTCGGCAAGCCGCTCTCGAGATTCATTCGGCCCGCTGCAGCCCTTCCAAAGGAGAGGCAATCGACAGCTCGCGCAAGTCTTCCACTTGCGCCGAAGGAACAGTCTTTTTAAAAAGGCTCGCAGGGGAGGAGCTTCTGGGCATCTTGCCCTTCTATCAACTGAATGGCCAATGGCCTGAGGGGGGGCCATCTGCGCGTCTGGACGTTCGCGCGCGAGTGAAGCTCCTGCCCCCTGGCAGCCTGGATGGGGCACAAGCTGCAGCTGGCAAACCCGAGATCGGCCGAGCAACTTGCGCCCCTGGGCGCCGTGGACCTCGCCGAGGGCCCTCTCCGCCGCGTCCAGCCAGACCTTCGCGGCAACCCGGGGGTCCAGACCCTGGAAATCAGGGCCGTCCCAGGAGCCCCCAACAAACATTGACCCTTTCTCTGCCTTATGCGTCGGCAGCGGAACAGGCCAGGGAACGATCCTCTTCCCGACCTTGGCAGAGCCTGAAAGGCCTTTGAGAACCACCTCTACAGCCTGATGGGGGCCGACAGGGGCGTCGCCGATCGCCTGAGCCTGCCCAATGCAATAGTCCAGGCAGGAACTGACCACGAAGAAATCGTAGCATCTGTCATGGCAAGCCGGGCCTCGAGGCCCGATAAGACTGGCTCGCAGATGTCCTGCCCACTGAGACTGGCGAAGCTCGGCATCGATGTTCCAGTCACCTGCAATGACGAAAGGGATGCCAGCATCGGTCACGACCTCGCTGACATGGTCGAGCAAATCGAGATTGGCCCCTGCTGGCCTTGGGTGGTGTGCCCGTAAAATCAAGGACAAAGAGGATCTGGTTTCGCGTGGATACTGCAAGCCTCCGACTCACGAGCCTGTGGGAGGTCCTCGTGAGCAGGAACTCCGCCGAGCCCAACTGCGCGTTGGCCAAAATAGCGGTGCCTCCTGGTGTCTCTCGGTCGCCTATGCCCGTCTTGGCCGCTGGACCAAAGGGCGACTGATCGCCCGCCTTATAGGCCCAGGACTTGGGCCCCGCCAGCTGAGGGCGCTCCAATCGGTGCCCCTGAAAAAAAGACGGCGTCGTCCACCGCGCCCTTTACCTCCTTGGACCATTCCAAGTGCTTGAGGCCAGTAGACCAGGCATTGGACTTGTACGCGAGGATCTTGATCTCAGCCTGGCCGCCAAAAACCTCGAACTCTCCAGAACCTGTCGAGGAACTGGCCAGACCAGCAGGGGAGGGGCCGCTCGGCCTGGGGGCTCCAGTCCGCTCATGAACGGCCCGAGGCGGAGGCTGGGCAAGGGGGAAGGCTCCAACCACCCGCATGTCTGCGGCTTCCCCCACTTGCCCGCTACCCTCTCCCTTTAGGGTTTGCCTAGGCGCTGGGCCCCTAGGCCCCCCAAGGACGGCTTGGCGCCCCAAATAACCAAGAGCCTCCAAATCTCCCGAACGCGTCGCAAATCTGGCCAGACCAGCAGGGGAGGGGTCGCTCGGCCTGGGGGCTCCAGCCCGCTCATGAACGGCCCGAGGCGGAGGCTGGGCAAGGGGGGGGGCTCCGACCGCCCGCATGTCTGCGGCTTCCCTCACTTGCCCGCCACCCTAGGGTTTGCCCAGGCGCTGGGCCCCTAGGCCCCCCAAGGACGGCCGGGCGCCCCAAATGCTCAGATCGCCTGCGACGATCCAGCAGCGCTCGGGGCATGTCTATGATGCTCTGCAGCTGGGCCCAGTGGTGCTCCGCAGAAGGCTGCCATGCTTCCTGGGCCAGCGGCCTCACCATGGCGATGAACCTGTTGCGCCGACCTCTGCCTCGAGCCCAAGCCGAAAGACAGGCTTCCCGAACAGCCTCGTCTAAAAATCTGCCAGGACTGTCTCGAAGCACGGGGCCGCACCTCAGCAGAGAGGCGCGGCGTAGCTGAGCGTTGTCTGCCTGGCTGAGAACTTCGCGCAACCACGGCTCACACAAGCCATCCAAGACGGCATGTCCAAATAAGTCTGGCCCTCTAAGTTCCATGTCCACCGAGCACCCCAGCCAGACATCATAATCACGAATTCGCGACGATGCCGATCTGGACCAGGCGGGGCCACAGCAATGCCTGGCGGTGGTAGCCCCATCCAGAAAGACGGGCTGAATAAACTTCTTTGCCATTCGGCCCCGAGCGGCTGCGACGGCGGCTGCTGTCTGCTCTTGAGAGGGCGAGCCTCCGCCCGCACTTGGGCCAGGGAGGCCTCCTCCGCTGGCGGCGGCTGGGTCAGCAGCGGCAGTGCCTCCGCCAGGGCCATCGGCAGCAGGCTGCCCAGCAGGAGGAGCAGCGCCATCATGCTGCGAGGGAACCGCAGCCCCAGGGCCGCCCGCGCCCTCCGCTGGCGAGGCCGGCGAGCCGCCAGGCGAGGCAGACTCCTCGCGGCGAGGCCTCTTGGCGGCCAGGCGCTCACGCATCTCTCGGGCTTTCTGGCGCAGATACGGGATCTTCTCCGCACTGGGCCCGATGGCCGCCAGGATGGCGGCTCGAATCTCTTTGCCCATGTTGGACTTGAGCTCCTGCCAGCGCTGCTTGTCCTGCCCCTCAACCTGCAGCTCCGATAGGTCGAGCAGGCCACCGTCGATGATGTCCACCGTGTCTGCGTCCTGTTCTGCGTGCAGCAGATGTGACAGGTTGATCTGAGAGGCACCAGTAGGCGCCGCGGCCGAAGCGCCGGACACCGATCTGGGGGGCCGAGCTCCTCCCGCACGGTCGAGCTCCAGCTGCAGCTCCGCGTGCCACTCCAAGTTGGCTTGCACCGCCGACTGCGCCGCAAGCGCTGTCACTTCGCGGCACTCCTCGAACCAGGCCTTGGCTTCGTCCTCTTTGGCGACGCACTGCTCCAGGTAGACCTCGGCGCGGCGGCAGGCCACCCCTTTGGCAGACACCCGGGCCTCCAGCAACGGCGGGCGCGCAGGCTTGACGTCTTTCGGCGGGCCCTGGGGCCCGATGGCGCTCTCCAGCGCCTGGAGCTCCTGCGCCGCCGCTGAGCCCGCCAGCCGCTGCTTGAGTTGCGCCACGAGGTCGACCGTCGCGAAGCCAGTCTTCCCTGCAGGCGCCCCCCGCGGCGGAGGCGTGGAGCCGCGGTGCCCAGAGAGGGACCGCGGCTTGGGCGACCACTGCCACTCGCCTGGGGGGACCGGTGGCGGCCGCTGAGCCCCCTGAGTGCCGCCACCTCCTTGGGCCCACACACCTTGAGCCACATCGCACAGCCGCATCGCGCCGCGGTGGCGTTGTACCTTAAGCAAAAGGTCCTGGATTTCCAATTCCACCTATACCTGCACGACACACAAGAGACGAAGTTCTTTGCATTTTGCCTGCCCATGGGCTCCTCCAGGAGCTCAGTTGAACGAAAGACGTGCCTGTTGTTGGCACAAGAAGGTTGGATACCGTGCTCCTACAGGAGCTCACAAAGAATCCTGAGCTGAGGGCCTCAGGGCTCGCAGGTGCGGGCGCACCTCCCCTTTGCCACACTCAAACCTGAGCCGCTTTGCTCCAGACTTGAGCCAAAATGGCTACGGAGGGAGGGACAGATGAGGAGGAGGAAGAGGGCATGGAGGAAAGAGAAGGTAGAGGGGCGAGAAGGGCAGGGTGACAGTCAAGGAAGGTGGGAGGTGAAAGCTTACAGCCTGAGCCAGACGAGCAATCAAGTAATGACCCAAACAAACACCTACGTACTCTCTCGTTCTCGAGACTGATTGCAGGACTGAAGCGGGCACATCAGAGAATACACATCTCTCCCAAGGGCTCCCTGTGCTGCAGAAGTGAAGGGAATGTGAAACGCGACTGGTCAGAGACAAAGGTTACCCTGAATGAATTTGTTTGGCCAAAGAAGTAAGCAGCACGGTGAGACGGTCTGCGACGAAATCTTGAATCTGATGATCTACCTCAAGCGCCGTCCACATGAGCGGAATTGAAGCGTCCAGCCACGTAGACAGGCAGTCCTGCGAGAGATGGCTTTCAAGTCAAAATGCCAGAGTGTTTGCGAGAGACGGAAAGCCTGCGTGAACGGTCTACTTGAGGCGTCAAGCGCTAGAGTGAGATGCGAAGGCGCGGGAAATTCAAAAACTGTGCATCCAGGGACGGCGGAGATGCGCATGGTGCTACGCCGTAGCGTTCGAAACAAGAGGGAGAGGCGCAGTAAGAGGAAGGGCGACTGGACAAATGCACTGTGTGTGACACGACTTCACTGGGTGGAAGCGCGCGCGTGACTAAAGCAAGCCACAGTCCTCGCCGCATCGCACAGCTGCACACAGGTAAAGCACAACATATTTATATATGGTAAGAAGTAGCCAGGGGGCGGAGTAGCGGACATTAAGCACATGTCCTCCTCCCTCTCCCCCGCCACGTCGCTGTCATTGGCGTCGTGTTCCGCCATCTGCTCCAACTCCGCCGCATCCCAGCGCGCATAACGCCAATCAAAGTGTAAGGTTCACACACATTTTCCTGGCGAGGGACCCAACCATGTGCAGTTATGAGTAACGCAGTTGTGGGTATCGACCTCGGTGAACCTCTCTGTCTCTGAGGTCACGACGCGTGTGACGGGTGTGCCAAAATTGACACGGGTACCCCATGCGGACGCTGCCACCGGAGCCGTCGGCGGAGCCCCATGTGAAACCACGGAACGTGTGAGGGGTGCGCCCGAATGCAAGGTGGAACCGCGTGTGGGCGCTGCCACTGCTAGGGCCTTCCGTGGAGCTCCCTATGGGGCCACGAAAGTGTGCGGGGTGCGCCGAAACATAAGTGGAACTGCATGCGGACCCTGCCACTTGGACATTCGGTGGAGCACCCTATGGGGCCACGAAGCGTGTGAGAGGTGCGCCGGATTGGGGGTGGAACTGCATGCGGACGGACCCTGCCACTGGGGCCTTCGGCGGAGCACCCTGTGGGGCCACGAAACGTGTGAGGGGTGCGCCGAACTACAGGTGGAACTGCATGCGGACCCTGCCACTGGGGCCGTCGGCGGAGCACCCTATGGAGCCGCAGAACGTGTGAGGGTTGCGCCGAAATGGGGATGGAACTACATGCGGACCCTGCCACTGAGGCCTTTGGGGGAACGCCCTATGGGGCCACGAAACGTGTGAGGGGTGCGCCGAAATATAAGTGGAACTGCATGCGGACCCTGCCACTGGGGCCTTAGGCGAAGCGCCTATGGAGCCACGAAACGTGTGAGAGGTACGTCGGAATGGAGGTGGATCTGCATGTGGACCCTGCCACTGGGGCCTTGGGCGGAGCTCCCTATGGGGCAACGAAGCGTGCAAGGGGTGCGCTGAACTGGAGGTGGAACTGCATGCGGACCCTGCCACTGGGGCCTTGGGCGGAGCTCCCTATGGGGCCACGAAACGTGTGAGGGGTGCGCCCGATTGGGGGTGGAACTGCACGCGGACCCTGCCACTGGGGCCTTCGGCGGACCACCCTGTGGGGCCACGAAACGTGTGAGGGGTGCGCTGAACTGGAGGTGGAACTGCATGCGGACCCTGCCACTGGGACCTTCGGTGGAGCTCCCTATGGGGCCTCGAGACGTGTGAGGGGTGCGTCGGAATGGGTGGAACTGCATGCGGACCCTGGCCACGAAGCGTGTGAGGGGTGCACCGAAATAGGCATGCGAGAGAGCAGAGGCAGGGAAGGGATGAGGGAGGAGGGGGAGGAGCGCGGGAGGTGAGATCAGGTGAGACGCGGGGCGCTGTCTCTTCAAAACGAGGACCCATCACCACAGGATGGTTGGGGAACAAACTATAAGGACACATGTGGGCACTCACGCGCCCTCTCTTCAAGACCATAAAGACAGTCTCGCAGAAACATCAAGTCCATCTCTGACTTGGAAGAGCTCTCAAGGCCGCCGATGGACGCTGGCCGAATTGAATCAGAGTGCCAACTTACATGCTTGCCATCTCCAGACGTCTGACTCTGATAATTGCGCCGTGTGGGCACATGCCTTCGATGTCACAACGAGATTTTCGTGTTTTTGACATCAAGGCCGCCGTCCCCAGAGTCGTCAGGGTCGTTTTGATCAATGCGCCGCGGCCTCCTCGGCGACGGAGCTGGGGCCAGAGGCCTCTGAGGCGAAGCCGACTCGGTCCGCGGCGCGTGCTGGACGGGTGGCAGCTGAGGCGGCATCGAATTCAGTACCCGCAAGACTGGCGCGGACGTGGCGTTGTTAAGCTCCTTCATCGCACTCCACTTGTTAGACATCTTCCGCTGCCTCCGCCGCATGGCCGACTTGGACTTGTGATTGTGTCCATCCATGTCGTCCCCGAACTCGCGCGGCAGGGAGCCGCCGCCCTCGGTGGGGAACCACTCGGGGAAAATGGCGATGCGGTCCAGGAACGACGGAAGTTCATCGTGGGATGAGCCAGCCCCAGCGGTCCTGGTGGCGGGGGCCTCGGGCGTTTGCCAGCGGCCCAGCGGCCCAGCAATGGCCCACAGGTCCTCGGACATGTCCGCCCAGCTGCGGCTACTGGAGCTCTGTGTCCAGCTCTCCGAGCTGCTCTCCAGAGGCGCGGCCTGGCTGGCGACGTCCTGCCGCTCCGACAGGCAGGGCTGGGGGGGCAGGGCGTGCAACAGGGGGCACTGCTCCCTCGAGCAGGCCCCACGCTGCCACTTCCTGCAGACGCCGCCAACCGTCTGGCTCATGCCGGCGCGGCGGCGAGATCAGGCCAGGGCATACCGCCAGGCGGCTCTCGGAGCAAGCCCGCCTTCCAAAAGCGCAGGCCAACAAAGGCGTGGTGCGAAAATGGCTTGGGCCAACGCTGTAGAGTTGGCCATGTTAGTTTTTTGCGCATGCTCGTGATGTACATTACTCCCTCTGGAGGCCCTATGTCTCATCATGGTGATTGCTATCGATGCGTGTTGCTGATCTATGTCTTGGACACAATGATGTGCATCCCTAGCGCCTCGGGATACTGGATTAGGGCTGGACAGGATACTTGGGATTACTGGGGGCTGGCGCCCGCGGCATGCACGGGATAATCGGGGTGCTCTGGATAATCGGGGTAGCTGTGGCCTGGCCGCCGCGGAACGTACGCTGGCGGGCGCGGGATGCTGGGGATGAATCGGGCCTAGCGGCCGCGGTGTGCAGGGCTGGCGGTCGGGCTTTCCTCAAAACCCGAGAACCCCAAACTGGCGGGTGGAGTAAAACGCTTCTTGGTTTCAGGAGGAGCGATGCTACCGCACGACGCGAGGCCTGAGACTGTGGTCGATCGCGGTGTCGGCCTGCACGGGCGCTGAGTGCAGCCACGAACGATCTGCATACATTTCCGCCGGCCCCCTTGCGAGGCCATCAGGCTGCGAGGCTTAAGCTTTCTGCTCCCTGCACCAGTTCCAGCTTCCAGTTTCCATTGTTACAGTACTACTGTCTGCTTCCTAGTGAAAAATGTTACTGTCCGCGCGAGGGGGGGGGGGGGGCGAAAACTACCCTGGTTAGCGTCCCCCGGGAGGGTTCTCAGAATTCCTTGGGGGGGGAACTTGAGGCCTGGAGATTGTGAAGTCCCTGTGGGTTCCAGACGATTTTTTACAATCTTTCAGGTTGCTCCTCATCATTATTCTGATATTTTCTCTCTCGTTTTCTCTCTCTCTCTCTCTCTTTTTCTCTCTCACAGTCTCTCCCACTCCCATTCCCCTCCCCATTCCAATTCACATTCCCAATACCATTACCATTACCATTCCCATCCCCATTCCCATTCACACTACCATTACCTATATCTTTACCTTTACCTTTACCATTACCATTACCATGGCCATTACAATTGTCATTGCCATTGCCATTGCCATCCCCATTGCCATTGCCATTGCCATTACCAGTGCCGTTGCCATTGTATTGCCACTTCCAGTCGCCACCCCGTTACCATTACCATTACCATTACCATTACCGATACCGATACCATTACCATTCCCATCACCATTAGCCACTACCATTACCATTGCCATTACCATTAGCATTACCAACACCATTGCCATTACCATTACCATTACCATTACCATTACCATTACCGCTGCCATCATCATTACAATTCCCATTCCCATCACCATTGCCATTACCGTTACCAGTACCATTTCCATTACCATTACCATTGCCATTCTCATTACCACTACCACTACCATGTCCATTCCCGTTCCCGTTCCAATTACCACTACGATTCCCATCCCCATTCCCATTCCCATCCCCATGACCATTACCATTACCATGACCATGACCATTACCATTACCATTGCCATGGCCATTGCTATTGCCATTGCCATTGCCGTTGCCATTCCCATTGCCATTGCCATTGCCATTACCATTACAATTACCATTGCCATCGCCGTTGCTATTGCCATTGCCAATCACTACCCCGTTACCATTGCCATAACCATTACCATTACCGTTACAGTCACCATTACCATTCCCAGTACAATTACCATTACCACTGTCATTGCCATTACCATTACCATTGCCATTGCCCTTCCGATTCACATTCCCATTCCCAATACCATTACAATTACCATTTCAACTGCCATTGCCATAACCATTACCATTACCTTTACCTCTACCTTTACCTTCTTATCCTTACCATTCCCATTTCCGTTACCACTACCACTGCAATTTCCATTCCCCTTCCCATTCCCATTCAAATTTACATTCCCAGTCTCATTCCCATTACCATTACCATTGCCATTGTCATTGCCATGACCATGACCATTGCCATTGCCATTGCCATTACCGTTGCCATTGTCATTGCCAGTCGCTACCCCGTTACCACTGTCGTTACCGTTACCATTACCAGTACCATTACCATTACCTCTGTCATTACCATTACCACTCGCATTGCCACTGCCATTGCCATTAGCCACTACCATTACCATTGCCAGTACCATGTCCATTGCCATTCCCATGACCATTGCCATTACCATTATCATGTCCATTACCATTACCAGTACGATTACGTTTACCTCTAACTTTATCTTTACCCATACCCTTATCATACCCATTTCCGTTACCACTACCACTACCATCACCATTCCCGTTCCTGTTCCCATTCCCATTCACATTCCCATTCCCGGCCCCATTCCCACTACCATTGCCATTACCATTACACTTACCATTGCCGTTGCCATTGCCATGGTCATTATCATTGTCATTGCCATTTCCAATCCCATTGCCATTGCCATTGCCATTACCATTGCCATTGCCAATCGCTACCCCGTTACCATTACCATTACCGTTACCGTTACCATTACCCGTACCATTACCTCTGTCATTACCATTGCCATTACCATTGCCATTGCCACTCGCCGCTACCATTACCATTGCCAGTAACATTCCCATTCCCATTCCCATTCCCATTCCCATTACAATTACCGCTGCCATTATGATTAAAATCCCCATTCTCATTCCCATTCCCATTCCCAATACCATTACCATTACCATTACCAGCGCCACTACCATACCACTACCACTATCATTTCCATTCCCGTTCCCGTCCCCACTCCCATTCCAATTCCCAGTATTACCATTACCATTACCACTGCCATTGCCATTACCATTACCATCACCATTACCTTTACCTCTACCTTTACCTTTACCCTTACCATTACCATTGCCATGGCCATTACCGTTACACCTACCGTTGCCAGTGCCATTGTCATCGCCTCGCTACCCCGTTACCACTATCATTACCGTAACCATCACCAGTACCACTACCATTACCACTCTCATTTCAATTACCATTGTCATTGCCATTGCCATTGTCATTCGAGGATTTCAGTAGGAATCATTCAGTGGAGGGTTTCGATAGGAACCCTTCTGTCGAGGATTTCACTGTGAATCCTTCTTATGGGGGCGTTCATCCTTCTAGGGGGGGGGGGGGCAGATGTGGCCACGACGCATTCCTGTTTTTTTTCCCCCCCTGGCGCGCCCCCCCCCACCCCTTCCCAGGAAACAATTCTGGGGGAGGGGGGAGGGGGGGGGGAGGGGGCGCCAGGGGAAAAAATACAGAGAGGTAGGGGAGGGGGGAGGGGGAGGAGGAGGAGGAGGAGGAGGAGGAGGCGGAGGCGGAGGCGGAGGAGGAGGAGGAGGGCGACACAGAGCAGAGTTTGCGCAGAAACAATCGCGAACTCAGCGCGAAAGCCTCGCGCGCGCGCTTTGGAACCACAGGGACTCCACAATCCCCCGTTCTCGAAAATTTACACCCCTCACGCAGATCGGCGGGGTCAGGGTGATACGCGATATGTCCGCTTCTCAGCCTGAGTAGGATATGGCAATGGCAAACCATAAACGTCACGGCTTGCATGCAAGAGAGCTACCCGATCAACCCTCCTCGCCGCAGCGTCGAGTTCCCTCGAGTCTCAACCTAGGCGACCTCCGGGTTGCTACAGCGAGGCTGAATGGCACACCAGTTGCCTCGTCACGAGCAGCCCCCCACGAAAATCATGCCTGCGCACAAGAAATCAGTTGCCTCGCCACGAGCAGCCTTCACGCAAATCATGCCTGCACCTCTTCTTTGCCCTCGGGATCGCAAGCCAGTTCAGGCTCAAGCAGGTTGCCTGCGACCGCGGGAGAGAGGCCAGATTTGCCCGTAGCCACGTAGTAGCCTAGCAGCTCCAGCATCTCATCTAGCTCCTTCTGCGCTAGATGCTTGGTGCCCAAGTCTGCCGCGTTGACCTTGCCTTGCGCCTTGGAAAGAATGACGCGGCGCTCAGTCACATGGCGCTGGAGCCACAGGGTCTTCGTCTCGATGTGTCTGATACGTCCCGCCCCACGGCGGTGAGCTATCCCGCTGGCTGCTGTCGCGTCGCCAGCAAGGCACAGCTCCAACACATATCCCATGTCGCGCGCCAGCGAGACCAGGCCGATCCCACAGGACGCGGTGTGCACTAGGGCATGCCACTCGGCCTCGCCTGAGCTGAGAGCCTCGCTGCCCTGCGTCGCGCTGAAGACCTTGATCATGTGGTCCCCAAGCTGGAAGACGCCGCAGCTCGTGCTCTTCCTGGCCTCCAGGCAGCCCGCGATGTCACTGTCCGAGAAGCCCCTGAGCACACCTGGCCAGCGCTGGCGACGGAATCTCTGGACAAGCCTAGGACGGCCCAGGAGATACCCAGCGATCCTCTTGACCAGCTCCATGCCGTGCTCACGCGGCTCAAGCATGCACTTCGCCACCTCCTTCACGGCGTGCTTGATGTGCGGGCGGTCCTCGCTGAGGTAGCTGGCCCGCATGACCAAACTGCGGTAGCGGGTCGCCTCTTCGCCCTCCAGGACCCTGCCACGGTCCACACTCTTGGGCTTCACACCTGGCGTTGAGAGCGCATTCGACTCACGCCAGAGGCCCAGCTGCTGCAACATGATGATGGCGTGGCCTCTCGAGGTCCAGCGGAAGATGCGGTTCAGGCAGACCACTTCCTGAACATCACCAGCGCTCTTGTTGGGTCCCAGCATGCCCTCGAGCTTGACCGACATGTGTTTCTGCAGCTCGCGGTAGAACTCCAGGTTGTCGCTGCGGGAACCCTTCGGCACGAAGTTGTCGCCGTAGACGCAGGCCACGAGCTTGCCGTCGCCTCTGCGGTAGATGCAGGGGCACCAGACGCCGCAAGAGAAGCTCATCTTGCCCTCCAGCGTCTCACGAGCCAGCAGCTCGAAGTTCTGGCCTGCGTCGCGACAGCCGCAGAGGCACCAGGCCAGCAACCCGTGCACATTGGGGTCAGCCGAGCGGGGGTCATCCGACGGCAGCTTCACCCACAGCTTCCGCTTCATCTCGCAGTGCGGGTGAGCCCTCGTGA